GCCAAGGAGCTGCGGGTCGAGGGGCTCCCTGGGATCGGCTGACCCAAAAAAGGGTCCCTTCTTCCCCGGGGGACGGTGCCCGAGTCGTGGCCACTGAGCCCTGCCCATGAATTTGGGGTTTGCTTTTCTCCTCTGGCTCGGCCTCGCAAAGCGGATTAGCGCTGCACGCGCTTCGCCGAATTCCTCGTCGGCTTTAGCTCCCCGAACCGCCCCACCGGCTTGGCTGCAAAAATTGGGCGAGAAACCAGCATTTCTGAGCAAGTCGGGCTCAGCCCGGAGCCACGCATCCTCCGGGGTCGTCAATATAAACCGTGACGATGCGCATCGGTTCCAGCTCGGCTGCCGAGAAGGGATGCTGGGACTCAGAATGAGAAATTATGTTAATTTAGTTGATTATCCATTCATGTGTTCCCTCCCCGGGGCACAGCGGCGTGATGCCGGCGTTGGGTCGTCTGGCTGCTGCCGCCCGCTCCCTGCCCCGCCGTAATCCTCCGGCGAAGTTTCATGCTCCAGTTCCTCATCCACGGGGGAGGAGGGGGGAGATCCGCAACCCTACGGGCTTCAAAAGGGCAAAGCCCGGCCCCGAAAGCTGTCGGATCTGGGCTGCTGCGGACAGAGCGCGGGGGTTTGCATCCTCCCGGGCACCTTTGCTTCAAATCAGCCCCAGGCTTTGTTTTTAAGCGTATGTGGGGCTCCGAAATGCATCAAATATTCACTGGCACTTTGGGTCCTGCCTCTGCTTTCCCTGGGACTTGAGAAATGCTATTTTTACACTCGCCTTCCGAATCTGCACTGTATTTTAAGTAGCCTCGTGCGGAAGTCCCGCTCGGGCCCTGGAGACCCATGTCAAGCTCATCCGTGCACGAGTCGCTGCTCCGGTGGCTGGAGGCGCTTTAATGCAAAGGCTGAGAGCGCTGGCAGCCGTCCCTGCCTCCCGAAATATCCGTGGGGATGCGCCAGCCCCCTCCCGCTAACCCCAACCTGCTCTCCGCAGGGCTCGGTGGATTGCCCGAACGTGGAGTTCGAATACGGGGATGCCGACGGCCACAGCGCCGAGCTAGCAGGTGAAGCGGCCTCTGGGTGCTGCGTTGCTATTAATAGGTGCCCGCCGGGGAGGGAAAAAAAAAACAACCAAGTCCCTCGGGGAGTCGGGCGAGCGGGATGGGGGATGGATATCCAGTGGTATCGTCCTCGCGGTAATAGAGCAAGGGGGATTTATTAATAGAGAGCCACTCGCTCCCCGGGGATGAGCAAAAGGGACGCGTGGGGGCACGGGGATTACCCCGCGCTCCAAATTATCTGGGACACGATGACAGGCGTGCAGGGGTGGGAGGACGGGCAGCACGCCCGGTGGCGCAGCCCAGGCTGGGAAGTGTCACCCTGTATCGCGGGTGTCACGATGGGTCGAGTCCTCGTTCTGTATCTTCCGACTCCGGCTGCTTCTGCCCCGTAACCCTCGGGGTCCCGAGCGTATCTCGACCAGCAAAGGGGCTATTTTTAGTTGTGTGTGTCTCAGCTGCATGAGCTAGCCTGGCTAAAGCACATTTTTTCTCCGAGGGATCCTTCCTCCTCCCTTGCAGGACCGTTTCAGTCCCCCATAGTGCTGCTCAGCATCATAGGACCTATAGGAATTATATAGGAACAGGCACAACATCGTGTCCTTCCAAGTCCAGCTCCTGTTTGCAGGTCCCAAAATATCCGAGCCGCTGGGTGTGAAATCAGTGCAGGTCTTGCCCGGATGCTCCTGTGGTCCCTCCCTTTGCAAAGTGGCTTAACTGGGTCAGAAAGTGTGTGTGTGTGTGTGTGTGTGTGTGTGTGTGTGTACACATCAGCATATCTAGAAAAAAATCAGAACTAGAAAACTAAATAACACATCTACCAGAAACCATATCATTCAAACCCCCTATGAAATTGCAAATGCAGCTCGAGCACCGTCGCTGTGGGCAGGAGCGTGGGAACAGCCCAGCCCGGACGCAGGGATGAAAATGATGAATTTGGTAGCGTTGGGTGGCTCCAAGATGCCCCTTGGAGCTGCAGAAGAACTCGGGGATAAGTTTAGGTCTCTGCCCCATGTCTCCTCGGGTGCGTAGGGATGCTTCAGACTCCCACAAGGAATTTGGCAATGAGGAGGAGGGTGAAACTCCTCCGG